TACTTATTTAAATATCTAATTATAATTCTTATATAAAATATAATTATAGCTAAATAACTAATACTTTTATTTTTATTTTATATAATATACTAAATAAATATTTCAGAAATAATTATATTAAATAAGAAACTCTAATTTATATTCGATTTTTAGAGCGAATTCTATATAAGAATTAATATAAAACTTAAGTTCTTAATAGCTAATTACCTTTAAATAAATAAATAGAGATTATTAATTAGTATTTTAATTAGAAATTATATTTATATATTAATTATTATTAGAATAACTAAAATAAATAGATTATTATAATTAATTATTAATAAGTCTTTCTTTAATATAAAACTATTAGCTAGTTTCTATTTATAATTAAAAAGAGCTATAAGCCTTATATTTCTTTAGACTAAAACTTTTCTATTAAAGCTAGCTTATTTAAAAAAAAAAGCTAAATAAAAATAAAGCTAAAATATTAGTAAATTAATTATATAAATTATAGTAACTTATTTAAAATTATATAGAAATTATATAGAAATAATATAGAAATAATATAGAAATAATATAGAAATAAATTAGAAATATATAGAAAATAATATAGAAATAATATAGAAATAATATAGAAATAATATAGAAATAATATAGAAATAATATAGAGGTAATATAGAAATAATATAGAAATAATATATAATATAAGCTAATAAATACTATTATTTATTTAATTTCAAAGTCGGAAATAAAATCTAAATTATTATAAAATACTAGAAATTTAATTATTTAAATTAGAAGCTAGAATACTAAATAAAGAACTTATTTGAAATTCTAGAATAATATAATTATTTGTTTTATTTAAAGTTACTAGAAAATATAAAGATATATTTGGTTTTTTATATAAAGAAGCTATAAAAGAATTCCTCGAATTCTTTACTAAATTAAATAAATCCGGAACTACTTTTATTAATATTAGAGAATAGTAAATAAAATATAATATTAAACGGGTTATTATAATTAAACTAGTAAGAAATAAGCTAAAATATAGAATTTAGTAAATTAGTTAAAATAAGAATCTAGTATAATATTTAGCTTTAGTATTAAATAATAGCTCTCTAGTTTTATAGAGTTTCTATAATAATAATATTAATATACCAGAACCTCTATAAAACCTGTAATACTAGCTAGACTATATAAAAAATAATACTTATTTAGAATTATATAGAAATAATAATAAACTCTTCTAAGTTATATATTAAAAATATTTGCCTTTTATATATAATATTTATATTCGAGATACTAGTTTATTTTAAAAAAGAAAAATAATATGAAATTAGATAGATTAATAGCTTTTATAAAGTTTAGAAATAGGCTTATTTTAAAGAAAAGAATAATATTATAATTTTTAGATATCTAATACCTGAAATATCTGGCCAGATACTAGATATCTTTTAAATATATATAATATAGCTATTTTATTAGAGAAATATACTTGAAATATACTAGAGATATTTAGAAAGTTAAGCTTCTTTAGAACTAATATATTATAAGATATATATATTTTCTTATAACTTTCTATATTTTAGTTTTTCTTTTTTTAGCTTTAAATTATCTTTATAAGAAACTTTTTATTTTACTTTTCAAATCTTAAATATTATACTTGTAATATAAAAGAGCTCAGAATTTCCTTATTAAGAACTATTTGAAACCAGGATAGGAAATAGTCTAGATTATAATCTGAAACTATAGTCTAATTAAAAAAATCAGAATGCGGCTTTATTTAAATAAACTAGACTAAGGGTATTTAGAACTAAATTAGACTATAATAAAAATATTCAGATTATAGTTCAGATTATAGTTTACTTAATCTATATATGTAATTTTTTAACTCTTAGAATTCTCTTAGAGAACTTTTTATAAAAATTAAAGCTTATTATTTTTTATATTTATATAAATAATAAAGTTTATATAAGAATAAAGATTATTATTTAAATATTAAGTATAATTTAATACTTGATTATATACTTGAATAGTTACGTAATAAGTTATTAATACCGAGTTTAGAATCTTATAGGCTTAAAAAGAGGCTGTATACCTAAGCAGAACTAATTCTCTGGACTGAGGTCAGACTGGAGTCTAGACCGTAATCCGGGGCTTTGCACCGTAGTCTGAATCAAGTAAACTAGACTGGACTACGCTCCTTTGAGACTGGACTAACGTAGTCAGACCGCGGTCCGACTGGACTAAGGTCGGACTATTCCCTACCCTGTTTGGAACCTGAAATGGCAGAAAAGGGGCTACGTACCGTTGGAAGCCATGGTGGTTGGGGAGAGGAGGAAAGAGACGAGAAGAGAGGAGAAAGAGACAACTTGAAACGAGAAATTTTGACAAATGAAAGATGCACTTACTTGGGAAAGCGGGAATTTGTGGCGAGATTGAAAGGAGCAAGAGCGCAGCATCGCGTTTGTGGCAGACCCTCGAGTGCTCGACGAGAAGAAGGAGCGACTGTGTTTTAGGGGAGGAACACCAAGCTTATGGCCCTACGCAGCCCACGAATACAGTTGCATGACTCGGCTCGAGCGAGAAACACCAAATATAAGTATTTGCCCATAGAATTGGAGAAGACTCGTATCGTTGACTCGCGGTTTGGAGCGCACTTCCCAATTTTCATTTGCACGATTAGCTGTCGAGTCCCAAGCTTTCAGCTGGCTGCACTTGGGCCTGACAAGCTACCCTCTATCCTTGCACTGGACGACCCAGAAGTCAAATGTCAGCAGATTCACCTAGCTTTCATTAAAAAGCTTTAAGACATGATAGCGTAGTAAGTTTGGCTTCCGTCCACACTCGGCTCGCTGGTTGTGGCCCTCATGATCGCCAATGATAGCAGCAGCAGGCATATCAGGTATATTTTACACTGTAGCACGTAATAAGTAAAACGAAAAGCACTTAACGTATAATGCGTATACTGGAAGTAAAGAAGTACCTTGCCGAACGAATGTGGGTGTCATTGAGATGGAGAAAGATTTACGCAGTTTGCTCACACAAAGAATAAATAAGTTGAGAGTAACCGAACAGGGATGATAAAGCAGTCCTTACGGAGATCGCGCAATAAAGTGACAGGAATACAGGGCCTTTTGAGTCTGAGCTCACTGTAGCACTCTTTTCTAGTGAGCTCAATCGCTGAAAGTCCCTATATTTCTAGGCTACTGCCCTGAAAACACGCTATAAGCCTTTGACAAGGGTGCCACAATTTTTAACGGCTTATCCCCTGTATTTACAGGGTCTCGCTCGCTAACGAGCCCTATAATAGCGTCCGAGCGCTATAGTTGCTCTGCCAGCAGCGCTAATACCCCTGAAGATCTTCCTCAACCTTGTAGGTGTCTCACAGTTTGCTTTCAGGGCATATAGCCTAGAGATATAGGGACTTATAGCGAGCTCAAAGCCTGAATTGAGCACTAAAGTGGACTCCGACTCCAAATGCCCTGTATTCCTGTCACTTTATGCCGCGATCTCCGTACGATTGTCGGTAACCCTCTCTACCATTCAGTATCCAAAGAAGGAAACAGCGTATAGCCGCCCGTTCCTTATGTATATGCATAGCGGTCAATTCAAGAGCTTCATACTCTTCGGTACAGCACCCCTTTTCCGCCTCAAACCGAATAACAATCCATATAACCCTCTTCCATTCTCTCCCAGAAGCCCCATCCATGAATCTCGGCTTTTCATATATAAGGTTGCTCCAAATCCTTCGAATTTCATGGCAGAAGCTTCTGCCTCTTGCAGGCTAAAATTGAAATATACGACACACACTGCTCTCAGCCAATCACGACATTCTTTGGTCGACCACTTCCATTGTGGAACTTTAGAGGCAATCCGCTTGAGGTTTTCCGGAGATGGTGGATTCGTCTTCGAGGCTTCGTGGTACGATGGCGGGGCTGGATTTTCTGTGCTCGATGGACAAAACTTCTTCCGCAATTCCTGAAGAATTCTGAGAGGTTGCATTCTGAAAATCGTCAAGGAGAAATTTCCAAAGTTCTAAGTGGTTGTCTGTTACGGAATTGTTGTTTGTGGTTGGGGTGTAATACGTGGTTATAAGAGATTCCCTTGCGACGAAGATCGAGAAATATTATTTTTCAGGAATAAAGAGCCGTGAAAGCTAAATTATAAGTCTTTGGTCAATTCTGTGATGTTACGTTTATAATAGTGCTTCCAAAGTGACATTAGACCAAACGGTAGTGCAACTTGGGTCCCATCTATCACAACTTTTGGTACTAGTAAGCAAGCACGTGATGGCAAGTCCAGAGTATTAATACGAATTCGTACCCCAGATTGTTCAAGATAAAGCCTCGAACTTGAATCTCTGAACAGATACTAAGAGATCTGATACCTTACTAGGAAGTAGGTAATCTTTTCAATTAACTCTACTCAGTGGAAGACTTCGACTAAGTGAAGATTACGATCACATTGGTTTAATAGTCGGCCTAAGCGCCGCGCTAAAGGGGCCCTAGGGCCCCTTAGTCGCGACGCATAGGCCGACTGGTATAAGTTCCAATTCGGCTTAGTAGGAAACTTAGGGGAAAGGTAGACTAACGTCATCATGACTGCTGACCCAATCTAATCTTTGAGAAACGATCCAAAATATCATTCTCGTTTTCAAGAAGAAGATTCAGTGCCTCACTATCTCAATGGTATTCATTCATGGAAGCATCTAGGCAGCAGCGGGCTCAGTCAATGATGTTATGCGGGTCATCCCTACCTGCCAAGAGCTACATAAGCAATACAAGCTGCCAACCTATTTGTAAAATTGAATACATCCGTAAACGGACTAACTAATTACTGCGCCACAATTCAGCACCTTCAAACTTGGCAGTTCTGAGTCTGATCTATAGGGTGTGCCGAGTAGTAAATATTTGCAGCCTTGCTCCTTTTTGCTCAGTTATGGAAATTTCCCCTTTCTCATTGTTCTGAACCAACCCACAATCCCTTGTAAACGAAGGGCATGGAACGGATTTGACAAGATGTCGGAAATCAGCACCGCGGGGGAAACGCTGCATCCGGTCCGAGTGGCGGAAGAGCTGAGCATAGAGGCCGAAAATCGTTCGATCTCCTCATCCACATCAGACATTGTCATTGAGAAGATTGCACCGGTCACAAAGGATGACCTTTAGAGTGCGGATGAAGAGCATGGAGAAAAGAAGAGGCAGATATTGGATGATAGTCCTCCTGAGAGCAAGAAAAAGAAGGTCGAATTCGAAGGAGCGAACGTCGAGCCGGCTCCACCCCCTTACACGCCTGCAACGGCTGAAGCGGTGAAAATACCGTTCTGGGAAAAGCGATGGTTCCTACTGGCTCCCATTGGAGGCCTGGTCTTGTTAATAATTGTGGTCGCTGTTTCCCTCGCCGTTTAACTCAGCAAAAACGCAGGCCAGGAAGCATGACAATTCGCCTGGAACGTCCGGTAACAGGCACGCTGCAGGCATATTTTTCGTATTGATCATGTTATTACTTTATTTGAATAGTTCTCCCGCATCCCTATCCGCGTTTTCTTCATCAATGCTCGAGGATTCCTCGCCGACATCTACCAAACAACTTGGAGAGGACCATGGATTAATCGCTCTTTATCTCAAAGGCAGTTTACCGTTGGTGACCAATGCTTCGGCTTGGGATCTAACTCCATTTCCGCAGCATCATGTGATGATGTTGGCGTCACTGTCTACGCTATGGATACCGAGGGAATCCTGTACGCTTTCCAGCCATCTGGGGAAGATAGCAGTGGAAATGGTGCAATTTGGAATATTGTTTGGCAAGACAATGATGTCGGAGACATTTCCGCCCAAGGTGTCAATATTGCTGCAGTCTGTCTGATGCCCGTCGACGACTGGCCTCCACCAGTGTTTGTCAACTTCTTCGAAAGTATTCAGAACACGGGATCGCTTGTTACCTGGTTCAACACTAGTATGTCTATTTTCACTTCCTCTCGCTTCTCCCTCATCTCCATCAAGTCTAATATCTAAAATTTAAATCTAGCAAACGTCACTGTCCCCTTGTCGCCCAAGGTAGGGAGTCTATATCGCCCATACACACTAATTGCAATCATTTACAGTAACGCCTTTCTTAATTCCGAGTCATAGGGAGCAAACCTGACACTCCTCCTCTTCTTCCCGCTCCCAACTTTAGGCAAACCTAATACTAGAACTCCTTTATAATCTAAGTCATTTGCTACCTCGACCACAGACTTCTAGTCTAATCTCGCTAACTATTGCCTTTGCACCTATAAATAGCGAGCATCGAGGAAATTTAAGCAGTACTGGCACTACTTCACTATTTGTCGAGACCAAGTTTACTAGACTAACTTGCGCTAGTTCTATAGTTTTATTCTCGAGTGCAAGTTTATTAGCTCCTAGAATAAGGATAGTAAATAGAAGTCTACAAGAAATAAACTATTAGACAGATTATTATAAATATAAAAACAAATATATAAGGCTCAATATAAGTAAAGAAAAACTACTATAAGGTAAATATTAAAATTATCTAGTAAAAAGTAAGTAAGATATAGTAAATTCTTATAATATACTATTTATAATAAAAGCTATTAATAGTAAAAGCTATTAATAGAATTAAATCCAGTTATTATTAGTAATATTTGTTTTCTAGAAATTATATGATTTCTAGCTATTAGGTTTTTATAACTAGATCTTAATCTAGCTTTAGTTTCTTTTCTTTTAATATCTCTATTTAAGTTTTTAATAACTAGAAAATTCTTTTATTATAGGAATTTAAGAACTATTATTTAGAAATAATATTATTATAGCTTATTAATATTTATTAATAATTATATAAATCTAAATATCTTTAATAAATAATAAAATATAAATTTATTTAATATTTTACTAGATTTAAATAAATTAACTTCTATTAGTTTTATAATAAATTCTAGTTAGAAAAACAGAAATATATTAATATAATATTATAATTTTAATTTTTAAGAATTTAATATTTAATATTTTTTTTAAAAACTAAAGCTATAATTTAATATCTATAAGAAGAAATAATAAATTAATACTCAAATTCTCTTTACTAATTAATAATACTATTTTCAAAACCTTTTAAACTATTATTTATCCGGAAATTATTAATATAGACTCAGCTATAACTTCGGAACCTGTAATAACTATTTCAAGCCCTATAATTATAATAATTATACTCCGAAGTTATATTTTATATATAAGAGACTCAAATACTATTTATAGAAGTATATACTAGAAAAATAAGAGACTAAGAAGGCTTAATTTAAGAATAGAAATATTTACTAATTTAAATCCTGAAATATTTATAACTTTAATAAATACTTTAGTAATACTTATATATAATATATTACCGAATTCGAAAAAGAAAAAATAATAAGAATAATAAGAATAAACTAGTAAGTAATACTTTTAAAGCCTTACTAGCAGAAATAGATAAAAGAGAGAAATATTACTCTAATTTCTATTTTAATTCTATTAAAAGCTTTCTAGCTACTTTTATAATTCTTACTTCTACTATTTCTATAACTAATACTTTTATAAATAACCTTATATCTCTTTTTCTTATATATTAGATAATAGGCAAAAACTATATTTTAAAGTCTACTAAATAAATAGAAAATATCTAGATATTTATAATTAATAATATATTAAGATATAATACTTATTACTTTTATAGAATTATAATTAATACTAGAGCCTCTAGATTTTTAATTACTAGTTCTAATTAATTCCAAGCTTTATAATAAACTAATAATAGTATTAAACTTAATAAAACTATTAAAGATTAAGTTAATATCTAGTTTAGTATTAGATCTATATTTTCTATTAGATTTATAATAGTAAGAATACTAATTAGGTAAGTATAATTTTATATTATACTTATAAAAACTTTATTTCTATTTAACTTAGCTAATATAAATAAGCTAGTAGTTTATTTTAATAATCTTACTAATTATCTTATTACTTCTAATAAATACTTTATATCTATAATATAATATTTTAAATACTTTTTCTTATTTTGAAATACTATTTTATAAAGCTTTATTTCCGAATTCTTTATTTATAATTCCTGCTTTTTTATAGAAATCGAATTATAATATCTATATTATTATTTTAGTTATTTATTTATTAATAAACTTTAAAATATACTAGAATAAGCAAGCTATAATATTAATATAAAAGCCTTTAAGTATCTTATAAAGTACTATAAGTAATACCAGAAATTCAAATAATTACTAAAATAATTCAAGTTTAATTTAAGAAATAATATTAACTTTAATTACTTTATTATTATTAATATTTTCTATATTTCTAGTAAGTCTATACTTTATATTATTAATAAAGGCATTTGATATTAAACTAGCTAATAGCTTTAAAATATTAGTATATTATATACTTGAAATATCTTAAAGTAATTAAATTAATATCTATTTAGACTCTTCTAATTAGATTATAGTAAATACTAGAAAGTAGTTTATTAGTAAGAAATTTGCTTAACTTATAAATATTATAGAAACCAAGATTAAAATTATTTCTATAAAAGCTTATAATTCTATTAGAATTATAAAATACTATTATAGCCTAATTTAATATATTTACTTTATTATTATAACTAAAATTAATAGAATTAGTAAGAATATTATATTTCAAATAGCTTTTAAGGCTATTAATAATTCTATAGAAGCTAATAATATTATTTTAACTCTTTTAATTTATAGTACTTTATTTTAAATAACTAAATATAATATCCTATTACTTATTATATTATAGTAATTAGTAATACTTAAAAAAGTAATAATAGAAATTTAGAAGCTTTAAGCTAAATATCAAATTATAAATACTTTAAATATCCGAAATAGTTCTAGTATTACTAATATTTATAAACTATTTCTAAATTCGAATATTTTTATTTAATATAAAGGAAATACTAGTTAATCTAATAATTAAAATAGATTATATAAGCTAGTAGCTATTAATAGAAAGAACTATATACTAGCTCTATTATATAGTAATATTATATTTTATTTAATTTCTATAAAGCTCTTTTATATAAGAGATATTAAAGTTATTATTAATAGCTCTAAATCTAAATCTATTCCCGAATTCTATAATAAAGCTAAAAGTAATACAGATATAATTTCTTTTACTATTTCTGCTATTTTACTAAAATATAATAGAGAATACTCTTATAAAAACCCGGATATTATAATATTTCTATAAAATAATAACTTATATAAGAACTTTTATTAAGTTAAAATTACTAGTCTTTTAGAAAAAAATATATTTGAGATTACTTTCAGATTTCAGGTATTAAAAAAGATATATATCTTTAATTCCCGGGTTATTAATAATATTAAAAATAAGAATATAGAGAAAGAGTTTAAGAAATTAAGATTAGTTATTTAAACTTATAATAATAGTAAGAAATATATAATATTAATATAATTACTTACTATTTAATATATTAGCTAGAGAATTATTTTTAGTATTACTATTATAATAATAAATATTATAGAACTATATTTATATAATATCTTATAAGTTTATATCTAATTAATAATTTTATTTAATTATAATTTTTATATTAACTTATTTTATAAGCTTACTAGAGAGCCAAATCTAAATAATAATTCGGTTCTAAAAGTTATAAAACTACTATATAATATACCGGAAGCTAGAAATTACTAGTTTGAAACTTATTATTTCTATTATATTAATAAGTTTTTTATAGAATAATTAACTTATAATTCTGTCTTTTCTATAATAAGTAATTCTTTAGAATTATTAGTCTTTAAACTAATAATACCTTATTTATTAGAACTAATAATTTTATAAAAGTAAAATAACTAAAGCTTTATAAGACTAAATTCTTAGCTAAGAAATATAAATATCTTATTTCTAATTATAATTTCAAATTTAATAGAGATATTATTTATATAAATACTACTAGAATTATTCTTATATATAAATACTAGTATAAAAACCTCTAAACTATTTCTATAAAAAATATTATTTATTAAGATCTTTTTATTAAAAACTAATATATTATTTAATATATTAAAGAAGTATATATTATATTAGTCTATTAACTAAAAGCTTTATATAACCTATTAATTACTATTTAAGCTATTAAATCTTCGGAAATTAATATAAAAGTATTTAATAAATATATTTAATAGTAAATTAAGAATATTGCCAGAGAACTAAGATTTATAAAGCTAGTAAAGAAATCCTTATATTTAATTATTTTTATAAATACTTTATTTATAAATAATAAAGATTTCTTTTCCTAAATTAGATATATTCTAGTTCTAGTAAATAGAACTAGATATACTAATATTATTTACTAGTTCTCTATTAAATATAAGAGAGTTACTAGAAGTATTCTAGCTTCGAAATTCTATAATATAGCTTATAGTTTTAATATAAGTGCTTTAGTTAAATCTATAATTAATAAAATACTAGAAATAGAACTATTACTAGTAATTTATATAAATTCGAAGTTATTATATAAATGCCTTATTAAATTGGGAACTACTCGAGAAAAATATCTAATAATTAATATAATATATCTTTATTAGATATATAAATAATAAAAGATTATAAAAGTTAAATAGATTAAAAGAAAATTAAATCTTACTAATTCTATAATAAAATTAAAGCTAATAAATACTTTTAAGTATCTAATTAATATAAATACTATATAATTAGATATAGAGAAATAAATTAAATATAAATAAAATAAAAAATAAATATATGAAATAAAAGAATATTATAAGAAGAGAAGTTATATATAAAAGACTATAGCTTTTAGTATATAACTAAAACCTTAAAAGTAATATAAATATATAAAGTATTTAAAAAAATCTGGTACTAGATTAGATTAGGGAATTTATATATAATTAGAGAAAGATATTATTTTTCGTATTTTTTAGAGAGTTTCTAATATTAGTATAATTATTTCTTTAAGAATTATATATATAATTATAAGATACGGGATACGGGATATAAGTAATAAGATATAAGTAATAAGATATAGATAATAGAATATAAAATACGAAATATAGTTATATAACTT